ACTTTAGATCGATAATCTATAACGTTGAGTTATCCAGAATTTATCTTTGTTCAATGTCTACACAAGAACAATTAAAAATTAATATCGCAGTTCATAATGCTTATAACCAATCATAACAACTTAAGCTGCCAGAACCACTTAATTCATCATTTCAAGCGCACTAGTATCGATACTTCTCCTACAGTACCGATAATTTCATTATATGGTATTAAGACCCACTTCGGTACCGATACCACTTTAGCATTATGGAACTTCAAACTTGATAATGGTATCGATACTTTACCCTTGGTATCGATACCCCCATTTCAGTATCGATACCTCCTTCAATCAGTGTCGATATTGATCCTCGAACTCAAACTAGTTTTGCCTTGAAGTATCGGTAGTGTTCTTCCTGTACCGATACCCTTGCCCATAAATTATCGTTTCCATTTCAAAATTTAACCAAAACATACCCAAATCTCCTACTTTAATCTCCTTTAGTGCCTTTAAACTCAACTTTACTTATCAAGACCAACTTATCTTAAATTAACACTCCTAAATATTCAAAATCTCACTAGAACACTTGAATCTAAAAATCATAACATAATTTCAAACATGTTCTCAATCATTTCTAATCTTTCTAACTCCTTAATTAGGCCTTTGACAAGTCAAATTTATCAATAGAAGTCCAAAAACTAAACCATATCAATATATCCCTTAAAAACCCATTTTTCAAATTTATCTATAATTCATCAATCTTTTAGTTTTACTCAACCATAAGATTTCCTTAAGCTTATATATTACCCAAGGAATAAAAACCAACTTAAAAATTCAATGAACAAACAACTGGAAATCAACTCACCTTTGAAATGGTTTCCACGAGCAAGGAGAAAGAAGATAACTAAGGTTTCCATATTTTCTTTTTTCCCTTCAATCCACAAGTACTTTATATCCTTTATAAGGGAAGATAAAAATCCTTCCTTTGAAAAGAGCATCACGCCCTTCCAAAATTCCAACTCTGATATCAAGTCCTAAATAACTTTTCCAAAATTAGTCCTTAAACTTTTCAATTATTCTACTTAAACCATTAAATTTTAATTTCTTACATTTTGGATTATTGATCCAATGTTTGAGGTGTTACAAGGACCATTAAAAGAGTTGACTTAATTACACTGATGAGAAGATAAACTAGGATGACTATAATGACCAGAAGAAATATCAGTTGAAGAAAATGAATCAAGAACAAAAAATTCAGAATCAGGAACAAAGGGATGATAGGGAAACAATCTGGAAGATAACATATGCGAATGAAAAGGAAAGGAACTTTCATGAAATCGAACATCCCTACTAATAAAGAATGACTTAGAGATAAGACTAAACATCAAATAACCCTTTTGAGTGCCAGAGTACCCCATGAAAACCGAAGAAACAACTTTAGGAGAGAACTTATCACGAAGCTTAGTATTATTAGCATAACCCAAGCAACCAAATACTTTTAAATGAGACAAAGAAGGTGGTTGGTGATGAAGCAGTTCATAAGAAGATTTCCAATTAAGAACGACAGAAGAAAGTTGAATAATTATGTAATAAGCAGTTAAAACACACCCCCTCCCCAAAACTTAATAGGTACTTGAGACTGAAAACAAAGTACACTGGCCACTTCCAATAATTTTTGTGCTTCCTTTTAGCCACCCATTCTGCTGAGGGGTGTCAACACAAGAAGACTGATGAACAACTCCTAAAGAAGAGAAAAAATAAGAACACTCTATGCTAAAAAATTCAAACCCATTGTCACTACGAATTATTTTGATAGAAGCCTGAAAATGATTATGAACCAAGGAGAAAAACCTTTTTAAAGAAATAAGAGTATCAGACTTGAGCTTCAACGGATACACCCATGTCATTCTCGTGCAGTCATCAACGATTGTAAGAAATAATCTATGACCGCTATGGGTATAAGTCCAGATGAATCAACTGAAAAAGAATATCAAACTTAAACTGACTAATTGGGAAAGTCAATTGAGCCTGCTTGGCTAAGGAACAAGCAACAAGAATGAATGATAAAATAATCCAATTTACAAGCAAGCAAAGGCATATGATGCAATTTCAACAAATAAGCACGACCCAGCCAAGCATGCCAAATTGAAGTTTTATTAACAATAGAATACAAACAATGAGATGAAATACTTAATGACATACTAGAAACTTTAGAAGCAGAACCAGAAAAAAATAGAAGACTCAAGAATATATAAACCTCCTCGTTTCCTACTAATCCACAACATCTTGCCAGTGGAGATATCCTGAAAGATGCAAAAATCAGGATAAAATTGAACAACATAATTTAAATCAAGGGTTAATTTGGAAACATACAACAAATTATGAGTGAGTGAAGGCACATATAAAACATTATGTAACATATGAACATAATCAAAGGAATATGAATCAATATGAGTGATTAGAAGCATTTTACCATTCGAAAGATGTACAAAACGTGAAGAACATGCAACAGGATTACTCAAGTATTAAAGATCAGATAACATATGGTCTGTAGCACCAGTGTCAAGAATCTATGTAACTGAATTGGATTCAGAAGCAGGTAAACCATCAATTAACCATGCCTGCAAAATTGGCAACAACAACATCACTAGATTCAAGAGAATAATCTTTATGAAGAAGCCCCAAAAGTCGATTGTACTAGTCTATCGTAAAAATCAAAGCTAAAGGAGTAGACAAAAAACTGGTGTCATAAGTAGAATTAGGTTGCTCAGAACTAACAATCATGGCAGATGAATTCTTCTTGCCCTTTATGAACTTGAAATCAGGAATAAAACCATTAAACATATAGCATTGTTCACGTTTATAGCCCCGAATCTTACAAAAATCACATACACCATTGTATCGCGCACGACAAACAATAGAGGAGTTTGAATACATTGTTGTAGAATAAAAAATAAGTGAAATATCGGATGAATAACACTGCTGCGATTTCTCATGTATGACTATGGAATAAGCACGATTGGCTGATAGAAGTGGATCCATAAGAATGATTTGGCTCCGAACTGCAGAATAGGTCTCATTCAAACCCATTAAGAACTGAAATAAGCGCTGTTGAAGAACGTGGTTTAAAACCTGCCGAGACTCGATACAATTGCAAGAAGAAGCAGGCACCAACACACTGTATTTGTCCCAAAGAAGCTTGAGACGTGAATAATAGGTGGAAACATAAGAATCTCCCTGAGTAAGGAGAACAATATCACGACGCAAGAAAAAAATACGAGAGCCATCAATTTTGCTAAACCGCTCTCTCAAATCATTCCACATAAACGCATCAGTAGAATCAAACACCAAACCAGCAAAAAGCTCAACACTCACACTATTTAGCAATCACGAAAGAACGATCACATTACAGCGAACCCATTGCGATTGAAGAATATCCCCAAAATCATTACGATCGTAATCACCATCGATGAACCCTAATTTATTCTTAGCCAACAACACAATCCGAATCGAACGACTCCAGAGATTATAATTCTTAATCCTAGTTAATTGACGAGAAACCAAAATTGTTCCAGACATATCAGATGGGTGAAGATAAAGAGGATGGGTGAAATCAACAAAATCCATGAGGAAAGAAAAAAAAAAGAAACAAAAAAGGAAAAACAAAGAAGTCACAAAGGTCGAGCAAATGATCGAGACCTTTCTTCTGGTACCATGTTAAAATAAACACCTGTAAAAGAATTCCTCAATCTTATATTCAAATATACTGGTACAATACTATATTTATACAAACTAATAAAAGTAACTATTTTACAAACTAAATGTTAACAAATTGTAACAAACTAACTTATTAAACTATTTCTCAACAAACTCAATCAATAAAATACAATGATAATAAAGAAAATAATGTTCTTTAAACAAAATGATTTATCCATTAAATTCACAAAGATTGGGAGAAATAGGGCACTTGGAACCATTAAATAGAATCAGGGTTCTCCTCTACATGATTTATCCATTACATTTATTTCAAAAACTACAAATCAAAATGACCCAAAATAAAGGCAATAAATGACGACTTCGCTAATCTCTATATGATATACTCGTTTTAAAAGTACAGAGACCAAAATGCAATCTGTGCCAGTATAGTTGGAGACAATAATTTTACCATAAATTCTCTCTCTCTCTCTTTCGATCCATTGATGTTCGGGTCTGAACAGTAACAGTAATTACTGAGATTGTCCCCAACTCAGCTTGGGCAATTTACAACCACCTCTTCCATTCTCTCTCTCACAAAATTGGTGAGGATTCTTGGAGGGAAGATGACAAGCATTCACTCAACGTTATAAACTTAGAAGACGCATCACCAAATCGAATAGAATTTTTTATTTTTTAATTTCGAGTTATAGGTTAATTTACCCAAAATTATCACTCTTTCGTACGGCATGCGAGTAATTCTTTTGTAACACAGTTTAATTTAAAATTTAAAAAATGATAGAGAATGACTATAACCGAAAATATTATAAAATGTATAATATATTCAGTTGAATACAACTTAAAATATTATTCTCTTTGTCTCACTTAAATTATCTTTTATTGATTTTTGGTTAATTATTTTTAACTATACATTGTTATTATTTAAAATTTATTGTTAATAAAATATATTTTAAAAACAATTTATCAAATAGTTTTTGAATATATATTTTATACAAATTATTTTAAAAAAAATTAAGATAAACATTGGCTAAATTTAAAAATTTAACTTTCAAAAAATTAATAAAAGAAATTTAGCATAACAAATGTTATAATTTTTTTATAACATTTTCAATTAAACCTAAGATATTATGGAATATATAATATTTAAGTCTTGCTTAATCAATAATATTATATTTTATAGTATTTTTAATTGTGTCTATTCCGTATTATTATTTAATTTTAAATTTGTCTACTGTCCAGAATTTTGGACAGCATGCATATATATTTATACAATCATAAATCTGTTTGTATAATGGACAACAATAAAGAGAGATATCCACGTCATAACACATCCCACTCTTTCTTCTTCGTAATAATCCGTCTCTCATGCTCACTCATTGATGCAATATTCATTCATTCCATGTCTCTCTAATGGCTGAATAACAGTTTCTTCTTCACTCAAATCCCTCTCTCTTCACTTCAAGCTCAAATATATTCACACCCCATTTCTCTTAACCCATTACCCCCACCTCGAAAAAGAAAATGCTTCTTCTTTTCCTCTCCTTTCTCCTCTTCACTTCCTTTCCGCTTTCCCTTTCCCTCAACCAAGAAGGTCTCTACCTTCTGCAACTCAAATCCTCCTTTTCCGATTCCGACTCCGCCCTCTCCTCATGGAACTCACGTGATCCCACCCCATGTAACTGGCACGGCGTTTCATGCGACGGCGCCTCTGGTTCAGTCACCTCCCTCGACCTCTCCAACGCCAACCTGGCCGGCCCTTTCCCTTCCGTCCTTTGTCGCCTCCACAACCTTTCTTACATTAGCTTCTACTACAACAACATCAATTCCACCATACCCGACATCTCCACGTGCCGAAACCTCGTTCACCTTGATCTCTCTCAGAATCTCCTCACTGGTGATCTGCCCCACACTTTGGCTGACCTCCCTAATTTGAAATACCTCGATTTAACCGGCAATAATATCTCCGGTGACTTTCCGGCGTCGTTTGGACGGTTCCAGAAGCTCGAGGTTTTGTCTCTCGTGTACAATCTCTTAGACGGGACAATCCCTGCTTTTTTGGGTAACATTAGTACTCTCAGAATGCTGAATTTGTCGTACAACCCGTTTAGTCCGGGTCGGATTCCGCCGGAGCTTGGGAACTTGACGCACTTGGAGATTTTGTGGCTTACTGAGTGTAATTTAGTCGGGGAGATTCCTGACTCGCTAGGGCGACTCAAGAGACTCAATGATTTGGACCTGGCGATTAACCATTTGGTGGGGAGTATACCGAGTTCGCTCGCGGAGTTGGTTAGTGTGGTTCAGATTGAGCTGTACAACAACTCGTTGACCGGCGAGTTGCCTCGCGGATTCTCGAATTTGACAAATCTTAGACTTCTCGACGCGTCGATGAATCGGTTAACTGGAAAGATCCCGGACGAGTTGACTCGGCTGTCACTTGAAAGTCTCAACCTCTACTCCAACAAATTCGAAGGAACATTACCGCCAAGTATTGCTGACTCGCCAGCTCTGTACGAGCTCAGAATCTTTCAGAACCGACTCACCGGTGAGTTACCACAGAATCTCGGCAAGATCTCACCGCTCCGATGGTTCGACGTCTCCAGCAACCAATTCACCGGTCCCATCCCACCCAGTTTATGCGAGAAAGGGAGACTACAAGAGATGCTAATGATATACAACTCGTTTTCTGGTCAAATACCGTCGAGTTTAGAGCAATGTCGAAGCCTGAACCGCATCCGACTCGGCCACAACAAGTTATCTGGCGAAATACCCACCAGATTTTGGGGCCTCCCCCATGTTTATTTACTTGAGCTTGTTAATAATTCGTTCTCTGGGCACATTGGCAAATCAATTGCAAATGCTAAGAATTTGTCCCTTTTGATTATATCCAGGAACCAGTTTAATGGATCATTGCCTGAAGAAATCGGTTTAGTTGGTAAATTAGCTAAATTTTCTGCAAGTAACAACAAGTTCAATGGGGTGTTGCCTAAAAGCATAGTGAAGCTTGATGGACTAGGGATTCTTGATCTTCAAGGGAATGAACTCGAAGGTGGGCTGCCGAGTGGGATCGATTCGTTGAAGAAGCTAAACGAGTTGAACTTAGCCGATAATAAGTTTTCCGGGGAAATTCCTGATGAAATAGGGAGTTTATCAGTGTTGAATTATCTCGATTTGTCCGATAATCAGTTAACCGGACGAATTCCGTTGGGTCTGCAGAATTTGAAGCTTAATCAGCTTAACCTCTCGGATAACTTGTTATCTGGTGAGTTACCGCCTTTGTTCGATAAAGAGGCGTACAAGAACAGCTTCCTGGGGAACCCTGATTTGTGTGGGAATTTTAGTGTTTCATGTGATAAGAGGGATGAAGATAAACATAAAGGCTATGTATGGTTGCTTAGATCCATTTTTGTTCTAGCTGCATTGGTTTTTATTGTTGGTGTGGTTTGGTTCTACTTGAAGTACAGGAACTACAAGAAAGCTAAGGCCATCGATAAATCAAAGTGGACTCTGATGTCGTTCCATAAACTGGGTTTTAGTGAATATGAGATATTGGATTGTCTTGATGAGGATAATGTGATCGGCAAAGGCGCTTCAGGGAAAGTTTACAAGGTCGTGCTTAGTAACGGCGAGGCCGTTGCTGTTAAGAAGCTTTGGGGAGGTGTGCAAAAGGGTTGTGACAATGTCGATATAGAGAAGGGTATGGCTCAGGCTGAGTCTCCTGTTCGGGATGATGGGTTCCAAGCGGAGGTTGAGACATTGGGGAAGATTAGGCACAAGAATATCGTTAAGTTGTGGTGTTCTTGCACCACTCGGGATTGCAAGCTTTTGGTGTATGAGTACATGCCGAATGGTAGCTTGGGTGATTTGTTGCATAGCTGCAAAAGTGGTTTGCTCGATTGGCCGACGAGATACAAGATCATTTTGGATGCAGCCGAGGGGCTTTCGTATTTGCATCACGATTGTGTGCCCCCGATTGTGCATAGAGATGTCAAGTCCAATAACATCCTGTTGGATGGGGATTTTGGCGCTAGAGTGGCCGATTTTGGAGTTGCTAAGGTGGTCGATGCAGCTGGAAAGGTTGCCAAGTCTATGTCTTTCATTGCTGGATCTTGTGGTTACATTGCTCCAGGTTTGTTGATTACCGGTCTAAAATAAATGTTGAAATTGATCATCTTATGTTAATCTGAACTAAATTGTGTATGAAAACTTATGGTGCAGAGTATGCATATACTCTTCGAGTGAACGAGAAGAGTGATATATACAGTTTCGGAGTAGTGATACTCGAGTTGGTCACAGGCAGACTCCCGATCGACCCAGGGTTCGGCGAGAAGGACATTGTAAAGTGGGTCTGCACCACTCTAGATCAGAAAGGAGCAGACTATGTTGTCGATTCCAAACTCGATCCTTGCTTCAAAGAAGAAATATACAAGGTCCTCAACATCGGCCTCGTCTGTACGAGTCCGCTCCCGATCAACCGCCCATCGATGAGAAGGGTAGTCAAGATGCTGCAAGAAGCCGGTGCCGAGAACCAACTAAAGGGTACTAAAAAGGATGGGAAATTGACTCCGTATTACTACGAAGACGGCTTGGATCAAGGAAGTGTAGCTTGAGAAAAGATCTCCCCATAGCTTGTTGCAAGAACAAGGCCACAAAGTGATACACACGCCCAATAGTTTTTCCTTGCTTTTCCAATCATTGTCCACTTCAATGTTTGCTTTACAGGTTTGTTTTAGTGGGAAAGAAAAGAGAGTAGGGGATGAAATGTTCACAGTGAAAGAGAAAATGGAGCCAGATGCACACCAAAAAATCTCGAGTTCGAGTCTCATTAACGGAGAAAAGAATATCAGGGGAGTTCGTATCTGTTTAAAGTTCCGACTAGACTCGATTCCGAACTTAATCGGGATTCAATGCGAGTAGTTGCTACTAGTTTACTGCGATTAAAGTTGAACATGAAACAGGTGTATTGAGATGAACCAAGAAGTCCCAACACAATGGGCCACAATATATAATACACTAATAGTATATACTCAGGTCTCTTGTTTGTTTCAAAGTTAGGCCAAGTTTTGCTGTCAAACATAATTTAGAAAGCTCTGCATGTTCACTTGTCTACCAACAAACAGCCGGATATGACAAATTTCTGGTTTTGTAACAGCCAAGGGAATTGGACATTGATAATCAAACATTGGGATAATAAATTTTATAAAGCAGTGGTCGACGTGTGAATGATAAAACTGCGACGACGGTTTTTTTTATTTTAAAGCATATATTGTGATATTTTAAGGGACAAACGTATAATTTTATGTTAAGAGGATAAATTTTTAAAATTCTAAGTGGAATGAAGATATATTATCAATGAAAGATATTTAAAATATATGATAATTTTTAGTAGAGCAACCAACCCCTCCGTCTATCCATGTATATTTTGTAGTGAGTGCAAGTATAATCCAATCGTTTATATATATAAGATATTTTGTCCAAGTGTATGTACTTAATTTATGGATATATATTAAAATATTCATGGATCAAATTTAACAAATGCATACTTTATGAATAATTTGTATCCAATGTAACAAAAAATAGGTAAGCTACAACCAATGTTATTTAATCATATACCCTGAATGTTGGATAATAAGATGAAATATGATGCCTAAACAGTTGGACTGGATATGTGAGTTCATCAAACCGTATGAAATACAAATTATAGAATGACAAAATTTGAGATTTAACATCACTCATTTGATGGTCTTTACTTGTGAGATTTCCCTTATCATTGGGAAACAAGTTGAGGTTAGTGGTACAATCAAGCTTTTATAATATTCCGAAGTAGGTTTAAGAGTTGAGATACAAATATGAAGTGCAGAAGTCACACCTTGCGTCACAATCAAATACCCATGCCTATATATGCACGCACAAACCTTATCCTGAAAGTAAAACCAGTTCAAATCAAATTTATGAAGTAAAACTTTCACCTCATCAACTCGAACTCATATCAAATAAAAAGTAGATTACAAAGTCATAATACGAACCGAAAACAAACTATCAAGATTTCTGTAGTACGCATTTCTCGTACAGGGCGAGGATTTCTTTCTTATTTGGATTCCTTAACTCAAGCAGCTCAGCGCCAAAATTATGTTTCGTGAGTTCTTGCTTGAGTTTTTGCACGGTGAATTTTGTATAGTCGTCTTGTAGATTCTGGTTGTCATCATCATCACCTTTGAATACCGACCCACCGTCTTCTAAATGTGAATGTCTCAGGGGGCTGGTTGTGCTCCTGGACTTCTTATTTGCTCTCAAAATTCTGTCGCTCATGTCCACATCTTGAACAGATCCCACCCCGACTTCATCATCTGTCCTGAATCGCTTTCTTTGGGAGGCAGCTTTTAGCTTACTGTCCAATGCAGTTTCATTTAAACGAACCGAAGTTAACTCTTGCTGCAATGAATCAAGTTTTGCCTGCGCAGCCTGTAGCTGAAGAGAAAGGGCCTCGGCCCTGTTATTTGCATCTGCATGTGCTGCACGTTCAGAGTCAAGAAGATCTTGAAGTACTTTGACTGTACTAGTCCTATGCTCATTGTTTGTTTTTAACAATGACTCTATCTCTTTCTCCCTCTCTTCCACCCTTGCCTCTAGTAATGCAACTTTAGAAACAGCATCCATCTCCGAGACATGAATTCTATGGAGTTCATTTTCCAAGTCTGTTTTCTCTCTCTCCAAGTTCTCAATTTGTCTCTCAGCCCTCTCAATTCGAGATAATCTTTCCATTGCTACCCTCTGTATCTCGCTTTTCTCCTTTTGAGCAACCGCTGATTCTGCTCGTGCTTTATCAGCTAACTCTGTCGCTTTCCTTGCTTCTTTCTCGGCTACTCTATACCTTTCTTCAACTTCTGCAAACCTCTCGAACTCGGAAGAATAATTCTGCTCCAAATAGATCTTCTCCTGTTCCATAATCCTTGCTTTTCCCTCAAATGACTGGGCCATGGTGTAAGCATTTTCTAGCTTCTCGACTAACTCCCTAATTTCAACCTTTAATGATGATATCTCGGCATCATAACTCTTGATTTTAGACTCAGCAGCCTGCAAACCATTACCCATTGTTAAATACTGTAAAGTTTTGCAAATGATGTTAATCTAAGCCTACATCATTCTTATAAATCATAATCAACAACTCTATGTAATCGTGTTCCAATGCACTAGATATAAAGCATAATACATAGACACATACAGAATCACATGGGCATATATTTAACAATCTCACCTTCAATTCTAGCTTTAATGTTGTTACCAACTGCTCAGCACGCTCAACCTTTGCTGTCTTGTCCTTTATTTCCTCTTCCTGCAATGTTCATCAGCGGATAAACAAATCACATTTCCATGCTGCATCTTACATTTGCATAATATGTGATTTAGTGAACAAGAAGGTGCGGGTGAAAGTAAGGAGAATGAATACAGCACCTTCTCAGCCAATGTATGTGAAAACGCTTCCCTCAGAGTATCTTCCCTAAGTTGAATTTCCTTGCTTGACCGCTCTTGCGAAATTGCTGCCTTCTCCAGAGCAGCTTTTGCCTCTCTAACAGCAAAGTCATACTTCCTTTTCCACTCCTCAGCCTCCTCTTGAGCAGACTCAGATTGCTCTCTAGCAGCAGCCAGCCTTGCCTCAGCAGCAGTGCTCCGGGACTTGAGCACTTCAATTTCTGAGGCGGTCTGATCTTCTTTGGCTTTCTGCTTTGACAGCACCTGATCATATTTTCTTCTCCGGTCTAGTGTTTCTTGCTTGGCAGAATCCAGTGATTTCATTAAACTAGAACATCTCTCCTTCAGTGAACTGGTATCCCCTTGCAATTTAATCACACGGCTTGCATATTCATCAGCAATCTTCTTCTTGTCATTGATAGCATCATCATAACGCTTCAGGTATTCAGATTTATATTTCTCACTATCTTCCAGCTGTTTGTTAAGTAACTTCATCTTGTCCTCAATTGAACGACATTTCAATACGAGGGAATTCTTCTCAGATACAATCTGATCTATATGTCTCTTGGTGAAATCCAATATTGGCCCCTCCATGCTGACAATTTAATAGCATAGACAAGGTAAAATACTAATAAAAAATAGAAACTTAATACAAAGCACACATGATACAACCATCTTAAAGAAATGTATTTATACATATATATTGATACAAACCTTTGCTGTAAAAATACAGCCAGTTTCTGCCATTTTCCAGGGCCACGGCATGATTCTTCATATTCGGACAGAAGAGCATCAAGAACCTGCTTATGACATTCTAATAAACCCAATGAAACTCGTCCTATGGAAAATACTTATGCCACAAAGCAACTCTGTAGCTTGTCTTCATTGGTATAAAATGAAAATGAAAGGAACTTCCCATATGGGATAAATACAAAGGCAATAAATTAAGACCAAAACAGAAAGTGAAAAACAGATAACTTCATTAAGGTTGGTTGATTAAAATACCCTTCATCCTCACAATTTTAGTGATACAAAAGCTAAATCAGGAATATCATTTAAAAACAGCAGTTGATGAGTAGAAATAAAGTTCCAGAATTAGAACGAAGTCAATGCATGAAAAATTGTGCAACTAGACAGTGACCATTTACCTTCACAACATTATCTACGCTTGCATCAGAAGCATGGCATGCTGCTCTCAATCTCTTTTCCATGCTCTGGATAGCATTTGAACATTGCAAATCTGCTTCCATAAATGCATTCCTTTTATAATCCTGCATAATGACCAATCCATAACTCAATGCTTACCAAGAACTTCGAAGATGTAGAAATAAAACGTAACAATGTAGCATTTGAGTAACTCCATACCTCAAATGCTTGTCTGAAAAATTTCTGTAGAAGCTCCTCGTATTTCTTCCTCATTGAACCAACTCCTACAGCACTAGCATTAAATTCTGCCAGCGATTTTTGAACTGCTTCTTCATGAGCCTCCCTCAATGCTGCCTAGGACCATAAAAATTAAAATGATTAAATATTATCCAAAGTACCATCTTACAATTATGACAAAAGCATCACTTACTTCCTCAGGTGGCTTTGTGCGGTCAAAAGTTGACCTATAAATATCTGAAGCAGAATCATATGCCCTTCGACACTCAGCTTCTTCCACACTCTATATGAACTAACACTGATAAGAATCCTTTTTAAGGAAAATGAGGAAACTGTTATGCTTTTTAGGCTTTGGAATGTTTCTGTTACTGTTTCAGCATCAAGGTTATTCTTTAACCCTCTCAGTGCCATTAAAAATGTATTTGGAAGCAAGTCCTGGGAACAGCAACTAACCTGCCATGAGGAAGATATTATAGGCACAGCACCTTTATTCAAAGCATCCAGATAAGATTCTGTGATACCAATGAGAATAGGCCCTGTCAGCATAGTAGCTCCAACCTGCTTTGGTCTTGTTCTCTCAAAAACAAATTTTGTCAATGCATCAAGCCCAGCTCGGAATTCAGGTCTCAGTTTGTCAATCTACATATTAAAACTAAGGTCTTAGTACATAAATGATGCATGCCAAATATAAAAGCCACAATCAGCAGTGAAATAGCAAGTGGACAAAAAATAAGAAAAGAATAGTACAGAAAAGAGAGAGGACGGCACATATGAAAACCGTTACATACTAACCGAAATTTGATCAAGTCTTTGGAGATCATTTTCATTGTTCAAAGGCCTCACCAGGGTAAAGCATTCTCTATCAGGAAATAAAGCTCGAATGGAGTCTCGGATCTATCAATAAATAACAATGCACAATCAACATGTATCACAGAATTTCATACACTTTGGTTCTTCATACCTTTTGTGATAAACATCGGAAAAATGAATATCTAATCATTGAAAAGGAATATCTATCACAGATAAAAATAATTCAAATACTTAGTTCTTCATAACCTTCATCATAAACATGGGAGAAATGAATCTCATGAATAAAGCAATGCAAATAGGAAAATACAAAGGAAAAAAACCCTAACTAGAATTACAGGGATATTTAACTTCAGCAGATAATATAACTCAGAGAAATAAAATTTGCACGCTAATAATTAAGGCACCTTATTTCATCACGCCTCCACAGAATCTATATTGGGTTCTTTTACTCCCCAATCAAAACCCCTGTTAGAATTACCTCGTTTTTTGCAGCTATATCTTTCCCACTACCTTGAATCGGCTGTAAAGCAAGCTCTAGGTAGTCACGGGGAGTGATTCTTTTATTATCTTCCACCAAATCCAGATAAAAATCCTGCAAGTAAGACAAATATTTTACAAAAGTGTACTGGGAAAAGTATACCTTACAACCAAAAGAAAGCTCCTCACATCCATATTCAAGAGCCAAACATGTAATAACCAATAATAAGACAGCATGCGCATATTTCTGTATGTAATCAAATATTACCCTAAGAAGCCAAACAAAGATGGGAGCGAACTGCCCAAGTTCAGAAGCAGTGGTTGTTCTTGCTCCAGCTTTGACTCGAATATGTTTCGTCATTTGAGTGACAAGAGAGAGACGATCCAATGCAGTTTCATCTATGCCTCCCATCTGAGTATTAGAAGTATAATGTTATTAACATGCCACTCAAACGGATATGTCTCTTTAAAAATGGAAAAGAAAAGAGCCAACCTGGTTGTAGATAAACATACTAGATAAGAGGACAGCTAAGGAAAATATCTGAGTGCTGTAAGTTCCCTATCAAGTTTGCAAGATAAGAGCATAAGTCAAAATAAGCAAAACAATAAATATAACCAATCCATTCCCATGAGAAGTAAGTGAAAACTAACCGTTTGATCATAGGCATCTATTCCTTCAGAATCTAATAGCAAAAGATTGTACTCAGTTCCATCAAGAGCAGTTCTCTTCAACGGTGCACTCCACAACCAAATCCCTTTAGTACATGGTCGATGAGTTGATGCTACTTGAAATCCACTACTCCTTCCAAGAAGCTATAGCACAAAAATGAATGCACAGCCATCTCATATGTAAAAGAGACAATATAAATCAAAATGCTAATAAAAAGAAGATAACATGCAAAGTTCAATAGAGAGAACATCACTTACAAATGTACAATATTCAAACGTAATACCACAAATAACTATATAATTTATGCTTTACAAAAATTGAGAATAAAAGGAAACAAGAAACGTTAAGCCAGCTAAATTATTAGCTGGCCAGACTCACTTCATAAGATTAAGGTTTGTAGTAAAATTCACATCTACTATGCCCTTATATAATTTTCACTATACTCATACTCACTTAAATTATAAACTCAAAATTACAAATCATAATATCCAATGTTCTATTTCTAGCAATTGTACATTACTTACATGGTTAGTAATCTCCACTCAAATACACTAAGATAAACTTAAATTAATGTTGATAGTTTCCCATTACAGCTATAATGAATGAAGGCTTCTAAACACAGTAAATTTGCACCAAAAATCCCTCCAATTGATCACAATTTACACATTCGGTCCCGCTTAAACCATAAGTTTACAACGTTTTTCTACTCCTCTAAGGAAAAATAACCCTAGACTTCATTGTTTCACATGCGAAAGGATCAACAGAACATAAAACTTTTTCCATTTCACAATTACAACAAGTAGAATAAAAAAGAAATGAAAATCACCTGATTTAAAATGAAGCTTTTTCCCTGACGAGCCCGGCCACAGACCGAAACGACTCCAATTGGTTCCTTAACAAGCTGCAAAGCCCCAACAGCCTCCGGATCCATCCGGAACTTCCCTTTCTCGTCGCAATACACCAATCGGATCGGTCTAGCGGGACCAGTCACCGGAGAAGCCGACGACGGAGACGCTGAATGACTGAATGATTGCGGGGACACATCAGCGGCGGAGTCCTTCCCTCTACCAAAATATTTCATCATCTTTGCTAAGATCCTCCGCGGGTCAGCTGATTTTCTCTCTGAGCTCTCCTAGCTTTGTTTCTTTTGCTGTTAATTTTAAGATTTTATTTGGGGGCTTTGGCTTTTTGCTATGTTTTATTGCTGCTGTTTCCAGTCCACTGACAGTGAGGATTAAAATCGGAGAGGGAAAAGGTTAAATGGTTGTTTAAGGCTTCATTTATAGGCTAATCGGAACGGTCTGTAAAATTACAAGGTTATTCTTGATTGGGTTAATTTCACTAAATATCCCCAAACTATCCTCGAAATTCTAAACAAATGTCTGTATTTTATTAAACAGTTTCAATGTCAATTTAGTCATTAAATTTTATATAGAATATGAGTAAAGCACATTTAAAATAAACTGAACAAATGTATGTTGTATACCATCCGAAAGTTTGAATTTAACATCTTAAGAAAATGGCGTTTAAATCTGGTGACAGATCCATAAATATTTTTTAGGGTAGGCACACATATGTTAACAACATAAATTTTTTAAATAGAATTGATACAAATAAAATTTCCATCAATAAAATAAATAATTAATTGAAAAAATTCAAATTTTAAGGTGGACACCTGTCCACCCTCGTCAAGCTGTGGCTCGGCCACTGTTAATTAAATCTATGCATGCTATTTCTTTTTTAGCATAGTATAATACTGTTATTTTTAAAAGATTTGAATTTGAATAATTATATCAATATAATAGCTGCACACATGTTTAGTATTTTGTTGTATATTTTAAACATACTTCACATTGAACTTGAATGAGTATTGACGCTCAAATTAGAGATAATTTGAATTTTTAAATGAATTTATCATAAGACATAGTTAATATTATTACTTTGAGAATTTGATTAAAACGATAGAAAGTTTGAGATTAAAGAATGTATATGTTATTGCATCAAAAACTAAGGGAACTTTTTAGAACATTATGCTCAATATATATATATATATGGTAGGATCCAATTACACTGTATAAAATTAAAAAAGTTTTACATATTTTTAAAAATTTAAACGAGAGAAATTAAATGTTAAGATTAACACTAAAAATTGACTCTTATAGGACGAAAAAATAAATCTTTTAAGTAATGGTTAGATTGGATTTAAAACATCGCTCTTATATTATTTTTTATAGAATTTGATCCAGTTTAATTAGTTAATAACTTAATTAACTATGATGATATCAAGTCTAAAATCAGTAAGTATTTTTTTAGTAGTTTCAAATGATTATAGTTCAAAACCAATCATTTTTAATTTGAATTATAGGAGATTTAATTTATAGTTTTACATGGATTCTCCATCTATCCATTAATTGGACAATTACTTGAACGTACCAACAAAGTATCACTTCGTCTTTTATTATTCGTCTTCCCATTTCATTACTCTTTGTTGTATTCAAACTTAATCAAACCTTATTGGAATTAGTATAATAACATGAACGATATCCCTCCCTTTGTCTAGTAATGAAGAACCTCACAGGCAAGCTCTAGGTCATAGTTTAAACCATGAGACATCTGAGAAGCTCGGGGATGGAGATGAAATTTGAAAAACTGATGCGCTGCCATTGTTGTTACTCGAAGCCATGGACAGTTCATCCAAAGCTCCAACCGAGAGTACCCTGGCAATGGAATTCAACACCTCTCTCACATTGTCATCAATGGTTGTTTGAGAGCTTGGAGTAAGAGAATCATCGCCTTCAACAATGGTGTTCTGTGTAACCATCTCTTGACCTTGTAAGTACCCACGAGGCATTAATGGAGGTGAACAGCTAGAACTAATGCAGCTATCAGAGCTTCTTCCAGCTCGTACTTGTTGAGCGAGTCTGCCTTTATGGCTAACTCGGCATAGAACCCAATCGTCCAACTAAAACAAGAAGAATAGACAAAGAGGTTAGGCATAAAACCCTAAACTCTGAAGCGATGGATCAAGAAAGAAAGTAACTTACTCGCATGGATCCTTTAGGCCTGTAAGACGGGAAGTGGTCGCTGAGAAGTCTATACTCGGTCATCACCCAACCAGTTTTTACACCTTTAGTAGGACGCCCTTTGTAGAACGCAAGAGCTTTCTTCATTCCAAGACATCGTGACCCCCCAGAGGCGATGATCGGTTTATCGGTGCCGCTAGCTTTCCAGAAACCAGAAGCGGCTGCTCGATTCGGACGCATTCCGTTCGGATACTTCCGATCTCTGGGACTAAAGAAAAACCACTCGTTCTCCCCGAAACAAGCCTTACCTGTTAACATGAAACGATGTTAAAAATGCCACAATTAATGAATGTATAATATCAGATTATTTTAAGCAAAGAAGTGCAACCAGGAAGATCCCAAGGATCGAACTTGTAGATATTGACATCAGCTGTAATGGAGAATGTTGGTTGATCTGAGGAATGCAGAACCTTGGGCTTTAGATAATGATTGATAAGCTCTTCATCTGTGGGATGGAATCTGAAGCCTGGTGGGAGGTCCATAATTTGGTGCGGGGGAAGGTATTTCGAATTATTTGCTTTGATATTTATACCAGAATTTGTACATTTTGTGGTGAACAAGACAATAAAATTACAATTCTATACTGATCTTGGAGAAATCACCGTATATAATAATCATAAATCAATAAATGATGACTCTGTCACTATCTAACGGTTGGTTTACATGCATGATTCCTGTTGATTCATGCAATTCAATCTGCTTTCCTTGTTTAAAGTTCCATTTTCAGATGAGAGAGATAATTCTCTTTCAGTAAGAAAACAATGATCCATTGCAGAGATAGTTATGCATGCATGCCCACATATCATGCATGAAGTAAACTATGCTCCTGAGTTGTTGGATGTCATGTCATCATGCATGCATGCATGACGTTTACATGTTGACTTATATAGAGAGACTATATTTCACATAGCCGTATGGAAAATATCAGATACAATTTAGGGAAATCAAGTGGAGACAATGATATATTATCTTATACAACATAAATATGTTTGATTAAAAATTTAGAGTTAAAATCTAAAACGATCAGATTTGAGCCCTTAAAATTTTAAAAGCAAGGTCTTATTGGAAATATCCTGAACTTATTCCAAGAATTGTCCCGAGCTGTCCTTAACCATAATATTAAAATGGCATAAGAAAAAAAACATATTTTCAAAAATGATTTGGTTTCTTATTATTTTTGCTTTGCGTCGTGATTGCAGGAGTTTGGAGCCAAATAAAGGAATCCCATGGCCTGCATATTTGACGTGGTCTTAATAGTCAATAGGCTTCTTACTTGGCTATTTTCGACCGCATAAAACCTAGCATTGCAATATCATTAACATTCTAATTAAAAATTACACTTAATACGATGGATCGACTAACAATAAAACAAATTAAATATCTATTACGATGTACGATTCAAGATATTTGTAAGATTTACGTATTATAAATTTGGGTACATATCTAATAGAGGTGTTGGTCCGGTGAAATCAATTTTTTTGTACAAATAATTTTAATGAAGTTCCATGCAGAATAGGGTATTTTGGAGCTTGAATGCGGAGTTATGGGTATCTCGGATGGTCTACACCTCTTTTGGGGACTGAGATTATTGACTAGGACTGTAAATGAGACGAGAGAGGTCTCGAGTATTCGCGAGCTACTTGAGATCGACTCGATCAAAACTTGATAAATACTCAACTTGAATGGACTCGACTCGAGTTCTTAACGAGTCGAAACGAGCTACTTGATGCTCGACCCGAAAAACTCGTGAGTGAGCTGCTTGAAAATATAATATATTAAGATTTTATTTTTTATTTTAAAATTTTTTTCCATTTAAAGCCTTTTTGAGCTTTTACCGAGTTTCAGTTTATAATTTCGAGTTTGAATCGTGCTTGAAAATTTAGACTCGTGAGTTTTCGTGTCAAGAATAATAATTAGACTGAGTTAGTGACTCTCATTTTATTACAATAAAAAAGATAAGCTTTACTGCCTATGTCCTAATTGTCTCTTTTGTGTTTTTAATATTATCCCATTTAAATTGTCCCTATGAAAAAATCAATAACTTTTACCGAGCACATTTCCCTTTCTATTAGTTTCTCATCAAAGTAAAATATAACTTTTCTAGAATAAAATTGTCATTTTAATTTTTTTACAACACATCTCTTACATAATTTTTTTTCTTTCTAAAACTACATACAAAGTCAACAGTCGACAATATAAATGGGACCGAGGACTATTTAATTTGACCATGTCTCTTAATTAGTGGTTTAATTATTAGATGGATGAGATATGATTAGGTTTATCCTATGAAATGCCGAACATGAATAATATAATTTGGGGTATCTCATAAAATAACGTAATATGGAGGCCATGCCAGCCTAAGAGCTACAAGGATGAGCAACTTTTTAGGGTCAATTGGTGGTCCTAAATCCTAATTAATGCGAATTAATTAAATAGATAACATAAACAAACAGTTTCCCCAATGTAATGATGAACCAATCCATTAGTATCCTGGTTAATTACTTGTCTAATGATACCTTTTCTTTTAAATGTTTGGGGTATCACTATGCCCAACACATTTAGTTGGAAAGAATGAGTTGTTTTCTATTTATACAATCAACGGTGTGAATGATTCTATCTGATTTGAGAAAATCAGTTTTTTTTTAGTTTTAAGTTTAAATCAAATTTAAATTTATAAAATTTGAATAATAAAAAAATAAATAATTTGATAGTGTTACATATTCATCTTTAATTACCCTATTCATTTAATTCAATTCAATTTGTTTTGAATTAAATTTGAACAAAATACTCTTACACTGTTTTAGAAATGGTACAATATCAAAAATAACTCACAACATTTATCAAAAATGATCCTTTTATCTTCTAATTTTTTTGAGCATTTTGTCTCTAATGTTTCATTTTATGACAAAAGGACTTTTAACATTTTCCTAAATAATCACTTTAACTTTATTCTTTTTTAGATCATTGTAACCCTCAACATTTCATTTAAGGATAAAAAAAACCTTATTTTGAATTTGTTAATTAACGGTTTCCATCAATAGAGGTATTTTTTTTGGTATCAAAATAAAATATTAAAGGCCAAAATAATCTAAAAAATATGGATCAAAGTGCCTATTAATTATATGTTAGACCCACTTTTTATATTATATTTTTATTCTTAAAAAATTGGCTAATGACCATGTGACACGCCAAGTGTCCCTAAACTGCCATTTATCCATATGTAAATTATTCAACATTTAACAAATATATATATATATATATATATATATATATATATATTAGTGCGAATGACTGTGTGACATGTGACCTGCCTCCATCCAATCCTCTTTGACAGGTAACAAAATCTAAGTGATGTGTGATTACGTCTTATGGAATATTTAATCCATCCATTCAATGTACTACTTTTCATGCTGCCCTAATTAAATTATTAATTACAATAAAGAAATACTGCCCCAAAAAAAGAAAAAGGCAATAAAGAAGAATAAAAGGGCAGAAAATGGAGAAAGTTGACTTGAAGATTAGTGCATGAAAAGCTCCTATATTTGTCGGTTAAATTAGGCCAATTACCAAGATGGTTATTTGCCAAGTCAAGCCCAAGCTTAATTAAAATGTAATTTATGCTATAAAAATGATAATAATAAATTTCATTTTCTTTGCGAAATGTATCGATTAAATTTTAATTTAATTAATATTATTATGATTTGCATAAATTAGATAATAATTTTGCATACCTTGAGAAGCTTATGGGGGTTGAATTGTTTGATCTCTGTAATATTAAACATCATAATCCAGATTTAACTCGTGAAGGGCTCATGATTCAAGCATTTATCTTAAAATATCACATTAATCTTGCGTTTAGTTTAAGTTCATTTTTTTCATCAAAATGCAAGTGTATGTTGTGATTTGATTCGGTTTCAAATATAGAAAATCATGTGACTACTAGATATGAAGGGGGAAAAAATAAAAAAGTAAAAGCGTTGCTGCATTTCTTCATATAAGAAAAATAGAACAACATAGGCAAAATATAGATTCATAAAGTCATAACCATAAAGCGCCGGCGTCTTTCAGAATCGGCACCAATTCACCAGAAATATGAGTAGACATTACCCTATCTAATCCCCCAAATAACTTCCCTCCCACGAAAACAGCCGGGAATTGAATCCCGGCACCACCATCGAATCCCGACAACTCATCGACGACCGCCGTCTCCTCTTTCCCTTCGTCGACCTCCAACCCCACCGGATTCACGCCGTGCCCTAGCAGCAACTTTATCACGACATGGCACATGCAGCAACCACGTCTGCCGAAAACCACCACCGCATTCTCCTCAACCAGCTTCTTCATACCATTCTCAGCACCACTATCGGTGACGAGTCTCCCGCCATCATCGAGAAAGTTCCGAAGGGGGGAAGGGCTGCCGGACGCGGCGGCTGTCGAATACGACTTATAAGGGATTGCTTCTTGCATTGAAGTTATATATAATTGCGCAAGAAAAACTAATGATATTATGGGATCAAGGGAGGGATTAGTTAAAATAATGGAGACGGTATATACATAAATAAGTGGGGGGAATGAAGGGGAAGACTTCAACGTCAACGCCAATTACGCACCGTCGGACGTCACGGGGACTGTGGGTGATGTCCTACTACGTCACCGTTGGGTAGACTGATTCTCATTTGCCATTTGTTAGATATTGCCAGGTCCATACACCGAACGTGACGTTGCCTTTATCTTTTTGGCACACACAATGTCCACCAAAAGCCAAAAAGGAAGTGAACCAACATATTTTTTTCCAAAGAAAACGACAATATCTGCCTACAAAGTGCACCGGCCGCAGCTATTTAGTTGTTGATACTTGATTGCATGTGCTTTTCAACATAGTAGGAAGGAGTTTTATCGTAAATATAACTACATGATAATAATCAAACTCGAATCAATCATAACGAGTCATAAATAAATAAAATATCAGATATTAAAATGTAATTAAATTTATTACTAAAATTTATTAAGAAAATTTCGGTCTTTCGAGAAAAATAAAAAATTTCTTATTGTATATTCTACGGTGAGATAAATATAAATATAAGTTAACTCATTTCTTAAGTATTATTGTCTCTTTATAAAATAAATGGGTGAAGGACGTAAGGTGGGAAATTCTGTTGTGCGGCGGTTAAAAAATGGCTAAAAAACGGCGTGATCAGTTAAACAAGTGACCCGTTAAAATTTTGACCGGTAATGTTATATCATTTAACCGAAAATATTATCAAGTACAATAACATATTAGGTAGCTCTTATATAATGTAATAGGTAGCTCTTATATTGACCTATTTTCGAAGTAAACCGATATATTTATACTGGTAACATTGCAAATTTACCTATTACATTATTATTATCGGTTACGATGTTTTTTAGATTGATACAATTTTAAATGTATCGACACTTTATGCTTGCACCTGATTGGGCATTTATATTTCATTCTGGAAAAAAGTATCGACACAAACTAACAACGTGTCGATACATTATTTAGACCTATTCTCTCATAAAACTGGTATATTTATACCGGTTACATTGAAAATTTACCTATTACATTATACATATGGGTTTCGATGTTTCCAGGATCGATACTTTTTATAAATGTATCGACACTTTATGGTCTCACCCTTTTTGGTATTCATTCTGGACCAAAAGTATCGACACAAATTTATCAAGTGTCGATACTTTATGCTGACCTATTTTATCATAAAACCGGTATATTTATATCGGTTACATTGTAAATTTACCTAATACATTATAATTAACGGTTTCGATGTTTTTGGGATTGATACTTTTAATAAATGTATCGACACTTTATGAGTGCACCTCGTTTGTGCATTCATCCTGGACAATAAGTATCGACACAAATTACACAAGTGTCGATACATTATGTTGACCTGTTTTCTAATTAACCGATATATTTATACCGGTTACATTGTTAATTTACCTATTACATTATAATTATTGGTTTTGATGTTTTTTGGGTCGATACTTGTATAAAATGTATCGACACATATTTAGGTAGTTATTGTACATACCTAAATATGTACTGTGAATTTAATGTTGTACCCACCCTTTAACTACCACTACCAATACCACATTCTATTGAAAGCAGCACGACTGAAACATGTTCAATGAACCTTTGCTTACATCTCCATCAACTCCGAGACCACTGAACTTGCACAACAAAATTTTTGCCATGGATCATACTGATGTAGACAATGTTAAGCCAACCGAGGAATGCCATGAAGTACATAATGTTGATGAATCTGACAGATTGGTTGGTCAGCTCTTCTGTTCACGTGATCAAGCTTGGTATTTTTACAAGGGATTCGCACGGGAACATGGGTTTAATGCACGTAAGGGAACAACACGGCTTGACGTGGAAGGGAATGTGAAGACACAATAATTTTGTTTTTCCAAAGAAGGGTTTCGAGCATCAAAAGTCAATACCGTTAATCATCAACGTGCTCATACGCCAGTCACAAGAACAGGATGTAAGACTAGAGTCGTAGTTACATCAACAAATATAAACGATCAGTGGGTTATAAGTAAGTCTTATCAGGAACATAATCATGCATTGTGCACACCTGCTATGACACCATTTATGCGTTCTAATAGAGCTGTAAGTAAGGCTGATATCGATGAGGCAACAACATTGAAAGAGGTTGGTCGGATGGGGATGTGAATGCGCTTATTGCCTACTTTAATTATAAGAAATATGATGATCCTGGGTTTTTTATGACATACTCGGTAGACGAATCAGGGGCATTGTATAATCTTTTTTGGTCAGATTCTACATCGAGATCGGATTACACATGCTTCGGTGATGTAATTGCGTTCGACACAATGTACAAAGATAATTTGTTTGGTCGACCAATTATGCCTATTTTCGGTGTCAATCATCACCATAACACAATTGTGTTTGCCACTGCCATAATCGCTGACGAGACGTATCAATATTTGGAGTGGGTGCTACAGAATTTTTAGAAGCCATGATGAATAAATCACCTATTTCAGTTGTCACCGATTGGGATAGGGCAATGCAGAGGGCTATCAAATCTGTTATCCCTTATGTTAAGAACAAATTATGTTCTTGGCATCTTTCTCGCAATGCACAAGCTAACATTGGTGACCCAAAATTGACAACAACATTCTCAAAATGCATGGCTTCCTGGTGGACAACCGAGGAATTTGACATTCAATGGCGTTCGGTTGTTTCAAAATTCAACGTCGAAAAGCATCCATGGTGATTGAGAAGGGAAATACACGGTACTTATGGGCACAAGCATATCTAACCGGTCATTTCTTTACCAATATTCGCTTAACACAAAGGTGCGAGTCTATGAATGCTTCACTAGCGATTGCACTGAAACACAAGAAGACATATTTAGATGTTGTTCGTGCAATTGAAGATGGAATTAGTAGAATGCGTATGAACGAGTTGAAAGCGGATTACTTAAGATCCCATACGAAGCCCTTCCATATCACAAAACTGTTCGACCTTGAAAGCCATGCTGCTGCGATTTTTACCCGCGAATCATTTCGTACATTCCAAGATGAACTTCTACGGGAGACATTGTACCGGATTGAGGTAGAGATTCAGTCCTTATCAGATGAATGTCAACATTATATTTTGTCAAAGTACAAAGAAAAAAAATAGGCGATGTGGGTACTGCAACGGTGAGGGACATAACAAACTAACATGTCCTCAAGTCAAGCTCAGTTTGAGTATAATGTAAATTATACAAAATTAACCCTATATTTACAAATTTACTCTCTTAGTCTATTTTTATTGTGGATTACGAGACCGTTTAATATTTCATCCGTATCATCACATAAATTCCAAACAATCTGTAGAGTATAGTCTCCCGCAATCATGGTCGGAATCAGTTTTGTAACTGGGATTATCCAGGTTAATCATGTTAACAACATAGCCAATAAAACCTGGGGTTTTCAACAAAGTGTCGATACAGGTTGTATACCTATTCTCTCATAAAACCGGTATATTTATACCGGTTACATTGTAAATTTACCTATTACATTATAATTATGGGTTTCGATGTTTTTGGGATCGATACTTTTTGAAAATGTATCGACACTTTATGCGTTCACCCTTTTTGGCATCCATTATGGACAAAAATTATCGACACAATATTAATAAGTGTCGATACATATTATAGACCTATTCTCTCATAAAACGGTATATGTATACCGGTTATATTACAAAATTACCTATTACATTATAATTATGGGTTTCGATGTTTTTGGGATCGACACTTTTAATAAATGTATCGACACTTTATGTGTGCAACCCTTTTGGATCGACACTCTATGAAAATGTATCGACACTTTGTAGGTTCACCCTTTTTGGCATCCATTCTGGACAAAAAGTATCGACACAATACTAATAAGTGTCGATAAATGTTGTAGACATATTTTTCATAAAACCGGTATATTTATATTGATTATATTGAAAAATTACCCATTACATTATAATTATGGGTTTCGATGTTTTTTGGGTCGTTACTTTTTATATATGGATCGACACTTTATGGGAAACTTTAAGTTTGGATACATTATAGAAAACGATTATAAATATACCGATATTTCTAAGTATGAAAACTTTGTTGTGGAGATCATAGAAAACATTTCTTTAATAATGTGTTTCGATACATTTGCACGCAGATGTAAAATATATTAATAACTAGTATTGATATTTCAACAATCCTCAAATGTATCTGTATACAGAGAAGCAAATATGGAGTAATTAATGAAACTATACACACAATATAATCAAACCAAAAGATACATACACAACAATGTTCAAATAATGTACCGACAACGAAATTAATCCGATGAAAAAGGGTTATTTCTAACGAAGTCCAGAACATTAGGCGCCTTCAACAAATTTTCCAAATACTCTCGTATGTTTCTGCCTTTTTCTGAGGACATACATAAATAATTTCAATTATCAAACTAATGAGGTGCAATTTTACTAACAATAAACTAAATTCGCATAAGCATGAATAAATTTGTGTCATACCTAGAGCATTTTCGTTCGAATGGGAAGCATCGTTAAAGGTATGTGGACATATGTAATTGTATTTCTATATAAACACATAAATTGTTAAAATAATCAATGTATGAACACCTATTTAACTGGAAAAACATATTGCATAAATGCAACTTACCGGATTATAAATCATTTTTTCCGCTGAATCATCAACCAAAAGTGTATATAGCTCATTAAAATCAGGACACGCGTTCCAAACATCATTAGGATCTTTACAGTAGGTAACATTATGTATGTTTTGCATTTTGGTTGATCCTGTTCACAAACAGTCGAACATAAATATGTAGGAATCGTAGACAAATAAAAGTCAGCAAATTGTAATGACATTCATCTTACCCAAACGAATAGAAAATGCTCAGAAAATAAAGGTAGTTTCTCAAGTACACGGTCAACGTTATGCCTGAGATTGTAATAAAGTTTGAATGTTAACA